AATTTATACATTTCTTCTAGGTTTTCTAGTTTGTGTGCACAGAGGTGTTCATAATATTCTGTGATGGTTGCATTTCTTTGGGGCCAGTGGTAGTATGCACTTTGTCACTTCTAATTGTGTTTAATTGGGTCTTTTTTTTCTTTATTAGTTTAGATGGTGGCCTATGTATTTTATTATTTTTTCAAGAGAACAACTCTCATTTGTTGATAGTTTGAATGTTTTTTCATCTCAATCCCCTTCAGTTCAGCTTTGATTTTGGTTATTTATTGTCTTCTGCTAGCTTTGGGATTGGTTTGATCTTGGTTCTCTAGTTCTTCTCATTGTATATTCACTACTTTAGACATTTATTATTTCTTTGTGGTGATAACATTAAAAATCTCTTGTAGCAATATTGAAATATACACTATTTTGTTATTTGCTTTAGTTACCTTACTGTGTATTAAAACAGAAGAACTTATTCTTCCTATGATATGGTTAGGCTCTGTGTCCTCACTCAAATCTCATCTTGAATTGTAATCCCCATAATTCCCACATGTCAAAGGGAGATCAGGTCAGAGAGTTGAATCATGGGGGCTGTTTCCCCCATGCTGTTCTCATGATAGTGAGTTCTCATGAGATCTAATGGTCTTATATGGGGCTTTGCCCACTTTGCTCAGTACTTTTCCTTCCAGCACCTTGTGAAGAAGGTGCCTTGCTTCCTCCTCAGCTTCCACCATGACTGTTAGTTACCTGAGGTCTCCGCAGCCACACTGAACTGTGAGTCAATTAAACCTCTTCCTTTATAAATTACCTAGTCTCAGGCAGTTCTTTACAGCCATATGAAAATGGAATAATACATTCTAATTGTAATTTTGTACCTGTAAATTTTCATTGAATTGTTAGTAGTTTTCTTATTGGTGAGTTTTGAGAGTTCTTTGTATATTTTGAATAACAGCCTTTTATCAATTACTTTTGCAAACATTTTCTCCCAGTCTGAGGTTCATCGTCTTATGCATTTGACAGTTTCTTACACAAAGCAGAAAATTTTAATTTCAATGATGTCTAGCTTATTAATTATTTCTTTCATATATAATGCCTTTGGTGTTGTATCTGAAAAGTCATGTCCAAACTCAAGGTCATCTAGATTTTCTCCTGAGTTATCTTCTAATATTTGTATAGTTTTGCATTTCACATTTAGATCTATGATTCATTTTAAATTAATTTCTGTGAAGGGTGTAAGGTCTGTGGCTAAATTCATTTTTTTTTACATGGGAATACTGTCCATTAATTTTTGCTCCACTGCTTGCAACTGGACCATTATTATTCATTTTAGATGACCTAGGATATTACAACACACACACACACACACACACACACACACACACACACACCACACAAGTGTCTTCTCAGGTTGTGAAGAGCTGAGCTGTCTACTTGAAACTGCAGGAGAGACACTTCAGACCCTGATCATTCAGTCATTCACTGAGCATGTATTGAGTACCTACTATATGTTTGATGTTATGTTAGAAGCTGGATACTCATGGTGCCTAAAGGACATGCTTTGATCTATCTAGTTCATGGTCTAGAGGGGAAGACAAATGTTTGTACAAGGATGACATAACATGTCAAGTTTCAAAACAGGGATAAGCACAAAGTACTATCGATTTCAGGAGAAAGAATGATTATTTAGGAGGAAGAGAGGAGGAAGGTGTGTTGGTGCTTGGGAAGGTGCTCAAGAGGAAGCATTTCACTTCCTGAAAGATCACTAGTAGTAGTGAAGGGGTGAGGAAAGCAGGGAGGTCACTGCAGGTAAATGAAACAGTATGAACAGTGGTAGAGATGTGTGTGTGTGTGTGTGTGTGTGTGTGTGTGTGTGTGTGTGTGTGTGTGTAAGGCAATGGCTAGATCATTGGGCAGAGTGGCAAATGGGCCTGAAAATCACATTGGGGTCATGAATACAACACTAAGGAGTTTGTTCTTTACCGTGAAAAGTAGATTTGACTCCCAGGACAAACAGATACTACTTTCTGCCACAATTCTCTTCTTCTTTTCTAATCAGTGCCCCCTTTTGTCTTTACTTTTTATGTAAACTGGTCAACTTCATTTATTAAGTCATAGATTTATGTTTACCACATTTATTGGGTATTTTTTAATGTACCAATGCTGAGTCTTTTGGAACTGTTATTTGTAGCTGGTGCTTGTTTCACATGTGGAAGCCAAAGATAGTAGAACTCTCCATGGTCCCTATCCTGGTGCCCCCCACCATTCCTGTGCCCCTCTAGGGGATTTGGCCAAGACTTCCGGAAGCCAATGCCTTCCATATATATACAGTGTTGATATTCTGATATATTTGCCAAGAGTGTAGTTTATGTAATAATTTCTTTTCCAGTTGCCTCCTGCAGTGATCGGTGGAGCTGAAACACAATATAAAGACTACTGTCAATATTAAAGTTTTTGGGCAAAGAAGCATGCACCCGAATCTTCTTCTTTGTTCAGGGAAGTAGGATTGGTCACTGGGCTTGCCATAGAACAAGGTGTTGTAAAGAAGTGAAGTGGATCCTGGAGATGGTTCTGTTGCAGTGGCAGCACACTATGTCACCAGGTGGTTAGAGTTGGCTCCAAATCTCTGGGAGGGGAACTGGTTGGCACCAGCAAACAAAGGAGAAAAAAAATTTGAGCAGGTGTGTTTTCAAGAAATACTGAAGCAAAACTGAGGAAGAGTCTCCTCCTAGCTCCCACACTATTCAGAATCCCATGGAACAGTCTCCATATCCTCAGTTATCTGTCTGAGCCTGCTGCCTGCAGATGCAAACCTATACAGGATGTCACATTCCATATCTCTGGTGTATAGTTGGTGCCTATCCTTTATCTCTAGCCATCCGACCCATGATATCTGATCTTCTCTAAATCAGGAATTTGGTACAATCAGGATTTTAGAGTTGCTTAGGGAAATGTGCTTTCTTTCTCCACCAGACTTCCTCTATCAGTAAAGAAAAGTGGCCAAGTCCTTTCTCTTTGCAAACTCATCATTAGGGATAGGGTAGGATGGGGGAGGCATCCAAGGACATACAACCTGAAGAGATTACCATTTAACTTTTGGAGTAGCAGAGAGTATCCCTGGAGAAAATATCTAAAATTCTCCTTTACAGTCTGGCTCAAAACTCATCACCTCCAAGAAGACTTCTTTGCTATATCTCCCCCCACTACTGTCCCCATTAGATTACAGTGATATGTGTAGACATTGTTTAGCTCCACTGAAAGCATAGGCCCCTTAAGGAGAATGTCCAGGCCTTCCTCTAGTTTTTTCTTTTTTTCTTGTTCTTCTTTTTTTCCTTTGAGTTAGAGTCTTGCTCTGTCGCCCAGGCTGGAGTGGAATGGCATGATCTCTACTCACCACAGTGTCTGCCTCCTGGGTTCAAGCATTTATCCTGCCTCAGCCTCCAGAGTAGCTGAGATTACAGGCATGTGTCACCATGTCCAGTTAATTTTTTGTATTTTTGATAGAGACAGGGTTTCACCATGTTAGCCAGGCTGGTCTCTAACTCCTGACCTCGTGATCTGCCTGCCTTGGGCTCCCAGAGTGCTGAGATTACAGGTGTGAGCCACTGTGCCTGGCTGGCCTTCCTCTAGTTTCTAACACCCATGGTGTCTGTCAAAAGGCAGGTGTTTGGTAAATGTTTGTTAAACAAATCCCATGGGTTTTGGAATAACTGTTACTATTAATGTTGTTATTATTATTTTTTACTATGTGGCTAGGTCTACATAGGGCCTTCACATCCCTTTTTCCCTTAAATTCTCATCATGGCCTGTGAGGTTTCTCCTTTCAGGTAAGGGCCATCTATGATGCTGGATACACTGTTGTAGACATAAAAAAATCTTTATGTTTGGACAATGTGCTTCTTTTAATTTTTAATTTTTTAATTTTTTTGAGATGGAATCTTGCTCTGTCACCCAGGCTGGAGTGCAGAAGCATGATCTCAGCTCACTGTAACCTCGACCTCCCAGGTTCAAATGATTCTCCTGCCTTAGCCTTCTGAGTATCTGGGATTACAGGTGTGCCCCACCATGCCCAGCTAATTAAAATTTTTTTTTTTTTTTTTTTTTGTAGAGACAGTGATCTCACTATATTCCCTAGGCTGGACTTGAGCAGCTGGACTCAAGGGATCTTCCCTTATTGGCCTCCAAAAGTGCTGAGATAACAGGTGTGAGCCACTGCACCAGCCCTAAAACATCTATATTTTTTTTCTGATATGGTATCTGACCTTTTGGTAATGCTAGGTTTTCAACTGACTGGATTTGATTTGCTTTGTATTCCCATAGTGAACAGTTTCTTTAGGTAGATGCCCTTTAATCCTGGTAGCTATATCACCTCCTTCCTCACTTTGCTCACAGTGAATTAGGTAATTATCAGTCTTAGAGATCAGAAAATCAAACACCGAATGTTCTCACTCATAGGCGGGTGTTGAACAATGAGAACACATGGACACAGGGAGGGGAGCACTACACGCCGGGGTCCGTTGGGGGGAAATGGGGGAAGGATGGGGGGTGGAGAGGTGGGAAGAGATAGCATGGTGAGAAAGGACAGATACAGGCGAAGGGACGGAAGGCAGAAAACCACACTGCCATGTGTGTACCCATGCAACAATCTTGCATGTTCTTCTCATGTACCCCAAAACCTAAAATGCAATAAAAAAAAGAAGAAATCTCCATTAAGAATTTCTTTTCCGCAGTTAACAACAAAGCTGTTTTCATTTTATTTTATTTTTTGACTCCTGATTTTATTATTTAATTTCTTTTTTTCATTTAGTCTTCTGTGGTTGGGAAGCCTTGCCTCCCAAGACCAGAGTCAGTTGGAGCTGGTTGTTGTTGGAAGGGAGTGTGTTGGGGAACTGGGATGGGGGCAGGGGGACCCCCACTCTGCTGGTGGTCCTAGGTGGAGAAGAAGAACTGTACTTCAGAGCCCGGGATGTGGTGGGAAGGGGATGAGGCAGGAGCAGCAATCTGGGGAGGTGGGTCCCACCTCAGTCCCCAGCTTCATTTTCTTCTGTTTCCTCACTGGTGGCATTCTCTGCAGTCTTGGAGACCTTCTTTGTTTTCTTTTTCTGGGTTTTTTGACTTGCAGAACTCTGGAAGAGGGCCTTTAGCTCTGTATCCTCGACCTCCATCTTAGACTTGTAGAGGTCAGGCTTGAAGGGACCACTGGTTTACTGCATAAGGCCAATGGGCATGAGCAGAACTGTAAATTTAAAATGGGCAACAAATTCACCCTCCTTCTCATAGAGAACATTAAATGGTTGCCACAGTTCATGTTTGGCACACTTCACCACACCCATCTGAGGCTTCTTCTCATCTTAAAATGCTCTTAAAATAAGTGACCTGACATGAAAATGCCTTTCCATCTCACTGAAGAAGGCACATGTAGTTTTCATTTTCAGTCCGTACTGTTTAGAGGGGTCTCGTTTGTAAATAGTGGTTCTCTATCCTGTATCCTTGGTCTTGCCCTTTCCTTAGCTGAAGAGAACATCCACAGCATATAGTTCATGTACCTCAAATTCAGCTTTTTCATGGTCCTTCTGCTGGTCTGTGCGATTCTGGTTAATGTTTTTTTCCTCCATTGATGACATGCTGCTTCAACTGGTTTAACAGCATACCTTCTATTGCAGCGCAGTTAAATGAGTGGGAAGCTTTGTTCTGAGCTTCTGTCTCTTGTGTGTTCTGGTTACTAGGTTTGACCAGGTGTAGGGCAGCTTCAGCACAAAGGTGAGTTGTCTTAATAACATCTGCTTTCCTCCCTGTTACTTGAGTCCCCTGAGCTACATCAACCAGGGAAGTATGAGCTATATTAGTGATGAAGCCATTCACATGGACCCCAAGGTCAATTTTTACCAACTTACCTTCTTTGAGAATATAATCCTGGTCACTCTTCAAAGAGGAGAAGTGACATACACAGTTGTTTACCAAAATGATGGTGGGAAAAGCAATACCTTTTTTCATTTCTTTTTTTTTTTTTTCTCGAAGACTTTCCCTGTTTCTTCCATAATCATGGTATCTGAGCTAAATGCTTCCACCAAGGACCAAAGTACCTGGTTGGTGGTGTTGCCCCCCAATCTTATATTTGGTCACAACCAGGTCCTTGGCAATAGTTTGCTCCTGCTGCTTGTCCTCGCCTGATATTTTCCTGCCACCATCACTGGCAGCCTCGTTTTCCCTCAGCCACCACCTCTGTCTCCCTTCCCAGTTGCAGGCTGTGGTTTGAGCCCCCTCAATCCTCGAGGAGAGGGCCAGCAAAATCTCGAGCAAGAAAGGGAGCCAGCAGGCAGGCGAGAGCAAAGCTCTGTTTTTAAATGAAGAGGTCTTTTTGTTTCATTTTTAAATACCCGGAGGCTCATTCTGACAAGTTTTCAGCTTCTTTGTAGCTTCCTTTATCTTCACTACATGGCAAACAAATACAATGTAACCTGTTCTGTAGTCTGTCCCTGTCTGTCACAGGGGGAAGGAAATCAAATAGGAGAGACTACTTAGAGCTGAAAGTTGTCAGAGAAGTAAAATGTTCTTATGAGGTGGTGCTGCAAATAAAGGGCGTCCACGCAGGTGTGCCTGACCAAGTCGATGGCTTTTGGGTGTGCATTGATATTTGGTATGGGGGAAGGGTCATTGAAGAGGTTTTGTGTTGGAACACCTGGAGAGCAAAAAGAAGGGTGTGGTTGGGGGTGAGTGGAGGAGACAAGGTGGTTGGTGGTTGCAGTCTAGCCTGGGTCAGGGAGAAGTTCAAGTTCTATAGCAAGATGGGCTACTGGAACAAGCACTTTTAAGAAACAAGGGGCCCCACTGTGCTCAGGTAACAAAGCGGCATGGAGGGAGGAAGGGAAAGGGGTTATCAGCTAGATATTGAGCCTGTCCCACCTGTAACATTTTCAGGTTTCAGAACAAGACTTCAACTGGGGATCCACATACCATATGTCTAAATATTTGAAAGGTTTAAATCAATGAATACAACACGTTTTATTTAATGGTTTATCTACAGTTATCATTATGACAACTGTGCCTTCATAATGACCTCACAGGCCAGGTTGGGTTCTAGAATTCTGACTCCTGCCCCAATGATGTGGGAAGAACTGCTCCCCTTCCCCCTCCCGCTTTAGAAATATTTCAGACCTACACAAAATTGTAGAAAACATTACTGTAAACAATCCATATATCTACTATTCAGCTTAAGCAATGTAACCACAAATACAGTTGATGCCTGTGGGGAGCCTTCTCTTCTTGAATGCCCCTCCCTTTCTTTCCCTGAGAGGTAACCACAGTCTCAAAAGTGCTTGCTTGTCTTTCAAATGCACACCTTTCTGTATGCTTCCTTTGTATCCATCTCTTGCATGCACACTTTTTAGTCTCTCTCTATATACCCACAATGAATTTATGGCGATCATTAGTATGTTTTCTTAGAAGTCATATGCATGGTATCAAGTTTGTGTCCTTTTGGACCGACTTTTTCCTTTATGCATTTTCCTCTCTAGGCCTCAGCCCCCGTGAGTTCTAGTCTCCTCCTCAGCCCAACCCTTGCTGTCCCTTTCGGTTTACCTGAAACAGCCCCTAGCCAGTGAATTAAGGCCGGTCTGACAGGAGGTGAAGCACAGCTTCTTCCTCTGTTGCTTGAAACCAGTGGGTCTTCAACCTTAGTGTTCATCAGAAGCCCCTGGGGGACTTGTTAAAACACAGCTTGCTGACCCTACCCCAGATTTTCAGATTCCACAGGTCTTGGGTGGAGTCTGAGAATTCCCAGGAAATGCTGATGACGCTGTTTGGGGGACCAAACGTGGAGAACCACTGCTCCAGATCAAAGTCTGGGCCCAAGCTCAGCAATACCACGTGGCCTCCAGGCAACCTGGGCCATCCATGAAGTTTTCTTCAAAACCATGCTTTAGAGCAGCACTGTCCAATAGATATACAATGTGATCTACATGGGTAATTCTAAATGTTCTAGTAGCCACATTAAAAAAAATCAAAGAGAAACCAATACAAACTTTAATATTTTAATTCAAGTATTAACATTTCAATGTGTAATTAGTATAAAAAATTAGTAAGATATGCAATATTATTTTGACACTTACAGCATATATTTAAACAGGCTATCCATATTACAAGTGCTTACTAGCCACAACGTTGGCTAATGACTAAGGTAGTAGACAACATAGCTCCAAAGACTTGAGCCCCATCTCGCTCTTTCCAAAAATTGTTTTAAACTTGACATTTTAATTGATTTTCAGTTGCAGTAAGTCTTACCAAATGGTGGAAAGTAATACCTTTCAATGAGGGTATGGTGGCCCAAAACAAAGAGGTAAAGGAGAGATTTGAGTTAGGATTATTATTGAAAAATCTGCCCACGTTTCAGTTTATTGATTTAAGGTAAATTTTTATTTTGAACTTGAACAAACACTGTCAAATACATTAAGGGAAGTTAGCTGTTACTGGATATCACTTTTGATGTAATGAACTTTGTAATGACAGGTGTTAAAATTCCCAGAGGCACCTGAAACAAACAAACAAACAATGAGCAACAGAGTCTTCTTTTTATACCTCCTAACTGCAGAATGAAATGAGAGAAAATAAATAATAGTACAACATTAACTGACACCGGTGACTTTCTAAATAGGAGAAAATGGCCAGGTCTCTGTATATCTGCAACATTTGTATGCTATATTTTAAATCAGTAGAGAAGAACACCTTTTCCTTTTGTAACTCACAAACTTGGATAGCAGAGTGTTTGTGGAACTGAAGGTTTCATTTAAATGATCACACCAACCTTGTTGGCCTAGCACTAGAAAAGCTTGTTGTTTTTGTTTTCATATGAGAGTCCATTCTGGGATTTAAATAAATCTCTGAAGCTTCATCAGCCTGTGCTGGTTCCAAAAATGATATTTCCTTACCCTCCCAGACCCTTGGTTTCCATATCTACCATATAGAAAAGAAGCTGTTAAGAAATATACAACTGTGAAAATGCAAAAAAAGAAAAAAGAAAATATTAACCATTTGGATATACTCAAAGACAGATACACCTTAAGATTTAATTACCAATTCAGTGATAAACACACATCTGTGACATAAAATACAAAAATATATAGCTAAACAAATATTTAGGTATTAGTCATTAAATGTGGTCCTACTTGAAATTCTTAGCTTTTCGCTATTTGTTAGTAGTCACTTTGTAAAAAGCATTGGAGTTGTCTCCTAGTTACTATGGGGAGCCTGCATTTCTGTGGTCAAGTTATGAAGGCCCAATTAATGCATGGCCCAGCCAAGTTAGCTGCTGTGTCTGGCAACTGCTGTGTCTGGCAACCAATATTGTACACGAATATTAGTCTTGGTAGTAGGTCTGATACATTTGCCACTTGTTAGTAGTTTTGCAGCTAGAGGACAAAACACTTCAACATGAGCAAATGAATAGCCATGAAGTATATTTCAGAACACACTGCAGTTCATATTACTAGGTACATGAAAATTTTAGTAGCATTTTAAGTAAATTAAATTGAATTTTAAATCTAATTTTAAACTTTTTATTAATTTACTGGGAAATTTTGAAAAAAACAAAACAAAACAAAAAAACTGTCAGTGACAGGTAAATGCCAGGAATAGTTGAGTGATTCTCAAAGCTATACAAAGATACCTGGATTTTCTTGCTTCCCCTCTGCTGTGTCTAGGTCCCTTTGGAGTTCTTCCCCTTGTTTTTCACATCCGTTTCTTTTTCTTGTTCTTTCTTTTCTTCATCTGCCGCATCTTGGGCCTCTTCATCCCACTTCTCAGGCTGAGATTTGGTGACTTCTTTAGTGAAGAATAATACAGACATTGGGACCAGTCATTCACAGAAAATACAGCCCAATTTATAACTAGCAGTGGCATCTAGTACTCCACCCTCAGGAGAAGCAGGAGGATAGACTTAACTAAGAACGGAATAGCTAGGCACCTTCCTACTGGTTTTCACAACAGTTCCATGGCCTTCATGTGGCTGCTGCTTAATCATTTCTACAGTGACACTATTTTCCTTTTTTCCAGTAAATCTCCCACCCAACACTGGTGACTATATCTGGTTCTTTGGAGAAGGAGAATCACCAGGTCTGATTGCATTGTATGGTGCTTTGGTCAGAACTTTGTTGGGAAAATATTTGTTTGCCTCAAAAGACAAATTCTATGGTGAAGCTCGTTGGTTCCTCACCCCGCTGAATGTTTCATTTTTACCAAGGGCTCCTGTATCACTTGATCTCATCTGGGGGATCAACTTTCTAAGAATCTTTACATTTTGACGCTGAGGTGGGTAGATCATGAGGTCAGAAGTTTGAGATCAGCCTGACCAACGTGGTGAAAGTCCATCTCTACTAAAAATAGAAAAATGAGCCGGGCATGGTGGTGTGTGCTTGTAATACCAGCTACATAGGAGGCTGAGGCAGGAAAATGGCTTGAACACGGTAGGCAGAGGTTGTAAGTAGGGAGCCGAAATGGTGCCATTGCACTCCAGCCTGACGGACAGAGTGAGACTTTGTCTCAAAAAAAAAAACAAAAAAAAACAAAAAAAAAACAAAAAAAAAAAAACAAAAAAAACCCAACAACTTTATATTTTGAAAAGCCATGAACCAAAAAGGATGCCTGTCATTTGCCTGCTCTTTTCCTTTGGGTGTCCCTTCTGTTTCCTGTGGAGCTCCCTCTTGAACCCCTATCTACCCGGCTATTCATGTGTGGGCTTGCAAATGACATCGATGATCTCAGATCTCCTATCAAACACAGGTTGGTAGAGGGCAGCATGCTTTCTGAAAATCATAGAGGTCCTTATAGAAAAGGGCTTCGACTTACTGGGACACGTTCGGCCTTAAGTTTCAGGAGGGCCCTGAACCCCACTTTACCATCCGCTTCCACCAGCTGTGCCTGCACTGTGGCCCTGCCCAGAGCCCTCGGGCGCTTGTGTTCCCGCCTCCCCGCTGCTGCCACTAGCCTGTTCCTCACCTTTGGGGGCTGTGGCCTCCTCTGCGGCTGGTTCCTCTGCGGCCGGTTCCTCTGCGGCCAGTCCCTCTGTGGCCGGTTCCTCTGCAGATGGTCCCTCTGCGGCCTCCTCAGCTGGCTGTTCTGCAGGCTGCCTTGCCATCTCGGCGGGGTCGGCTGGCACCACAGGCTCTGGGACTGACGCGGCCTCCTGGATCAGGCCCAGGCCATCGCCCTCTGGGCCTGGGATCCCCACGCCCAGCCTCTGAGGTGGCAGCAGCTGGCGGGGCTCGCCGGAGCGATTGAGTGCGGCAGCACGGGCCATCCGCATCAGGCGGCCACAGTGACGGGGCCCCAGCACGATGTGGTCGTTCTCATACAGGCGGCGGAGAAGGGAGTAGACCATGTCGAGTAACACAAAGCGAACACCCATCATGGGGTAGCGATGTGCGACTGCGACCATATTGCGGTTGTGGGCCACGTTCCGGTCTTCTTCCTCCTCCTCCTCCACCGGCCTAATGTCCGAGTCCTCCTCGACGCTCCTGCCCCCGGGGGCTGTGGCCAGGTCTGCCGCCTGCTCACCCTCCTCCACCCTGAGGCCTTCCATGGGCCCTGCGTCTCCGGCCACCTCAGCCACAGGCACCACGTTGCTGCTATTGGGACCGGAATCAATGCCCTCCCGGTCACCAGCTCCGGCCACCTCGACTTGCGCTCCCTCCTGGCTCACCAGGGCCTCCTGGTCCCCTTGCGTTGGGTCTGGATCCCCTGTGGCAGACATGATGCGTCAGCGCCTCAACTAGGGTGGTGACCAGGCTGAGGTGACGACGGTGAAGACGGTGGCTGCTGAGGTGGCTGCGGCTGAGGGGAGGTGAGAGGCTGGCTGCTGAGGGAATAGGAGTTTGTCTCCTTATTAAGGGAATAAAAGTCTGTCTCTGAGGAGACTCTAAACTGGGAAGGGCAGGGAGGCCATCCCAGGAGCCTCCCGCCAAGGCTGGTCTGAGAGGACTTAGACAGGGACTGAAAGATTCTGGTTGGCAGGCAACGGGGGGCGGGACCGGAAGTGTCAACAAGGGGCGGGTTCTCAGTAAGTTCTAAGCTCATTTGCTGAAAACTTCAGATTGACATGCTCTGTGTCCAATGAATGATCAACACCCTTAAGCTCTAGGACAATTCAGAATCCACAGCTTTTTCTTCTTTCCTTTTTTTTTTTTTCCTGTTGGAATCTCGCTCTGTCGCCCAGGCTGGAGTGCAGTGGCACGATCTCGGCTCACTGCAACTCCCCCCTCCTGGGTTCCAGTGATTCTCCTGCCTCAGCCTCCTGAGTAGCTGGGAGGGACTACAGGTGCACACCACCAACCCAGCTAATTTTTGTATTTTTAGTAGAGATGGGGTTTCACCATGTTGGCCGGGATGGTCTCAATCTCCTGACCTTGTAATCCACCAGCCTTGGCCTCCCAAGGTGCTGGGATTACAGATCCAGGGCTACCTTTTAGGTCCACACAAGTCCAGGTCTACTCTTTAGGTCCACACAAGTCCTGTCCTTTTAATTTTATGATTATTAGCAACACTATACTGATCCAATGTGGAGACACCCTGGAGCATGTGAACTGCAAGGTGTCCACAGAGTTCACTTATTTCCACCTAGTAATGGCTCATGCCAGTAGAGACACGGTTATAAAAATGGTATATAGCTCAGACCTAAGCAGTTGTGAAAACCTCCCAAGAAGAGAGGTAAGACTTTCAACGATTTAATGTAGTTAAAGCTGCTTAGAAAAGAAATGTGCAGAGTTGAAATGGATGCAGTCAACACTGAGTGTTGAGGTGGTTGTTGAGGTATTAAATGACAGACACTGGAAGGTATTTAATGAATCCTGCCAAATTCACTTCAAACCTCCAAATAATGAAAAAAAATTCTTTTTAAAAAGGACCAGGTCATCTCATAAGAGCTAAGCATAAAAAACACCAAAAGGGCCCAGGCACGGTGGCTCACACCTGTAATCCCGGAACTTTGGGAGGCCAAGGCAGGCAGATCACCTGAGGTCAGGAGTTTGAGACCAGCCTGGTCGACATGGTAAAACCATGTCTCTACTAAAAATACAAAAAATTAGCTGGGCATGGTGGCACATGCCTGTAGTCCCAGCTACTTGGGAGGCTGATGCTGCAGAATCACTGGAACCAGGGAGGTGGAGGTTGCAGTGAGCCAAGATTGCACCACTGCACTCAAGCTTGGGTGACAGAGCGAGACTCCATCTCAAAAACAAAACAAAAAACAAAACAAAACAAAACAAAACAAAACACCAAAAGAACAGGCTTCCTAGGGTGTTTCAAGCAACAGCCCAAGACTTTTTGTTGATTTTAAGACCCACTTAACCAAGATTCAAGTAATAAGTAATTCTGAACATTCTGGAGAAATCAATGTTATTTTATATTCATTTTATGAAAAAAATTTTTTTGGTACACTACAACTACTCTGAAAAAAATTGGAAGTAGCATATTTCATGTATTAAATTTAGGAATAGTAATACCATTAAATCTCATCGAGATGAGCAGAAATTTTTTTTTCCTTTCATGAACTCAATCAAATTTCAGTGTTTCTATTTTTCTTTAGTTTCACCTGAAAAAAGGAGCATAGTGCTGTCATAAACCATTGGCTTAAATCTGGAAGACAATGTGGAAATTTTCTAATCCAAAATACTCAGTATAAAGACAGCAAAACCGAGGCAGAACCCCAATCTGAGGTCTAGAGTTGGCTTTAATATTTGCTTCCTGATGTGAAGTAGGGAAAGTTACTTATTTCTAGGCTTCAGTTTTATCATTTGTGAGGTTAGAATAATGATTCCCTAGTTACCTCATGAGGCTGATTTGAGAATCAGGTAAGATAAGACTTAGGAATTCTCTCTCTAAAAAAAAAGAATCAAGTAAGATAATAGGGTGAAAGCCCTTTTCATACTGTAAAATGCTATACATGTATATGATTACATCAACAATAATTTTTCCCTGTTCTTAAATTATTGGAAAGAAGCTATCAGGTATAGTTGGCCCTCTGTATCCATGGATTCTGCATGTGTGGATTTAACTAACTGTGGATCAAAAATATTCAGAAAAACATTGCATATGCACTAAACATGTGCAGACTTTTCTTCTTCTCATTCCCTAAACAGTAAAGTACAACAGCTATTTAGATAGCATTTACATTGTATTAGGTATTGCAAATAATCTAGAGATGACTTAAGGCATATGTGATAATGTGTGTAGGTTATATGCAAATACTGTGCCATTTTGTATCTGGAGCTTGGGCATCTGCTGATTTTGGTATCTGCAGGAGGTTTTGGAATCTATCCCCCATGGTTAATGAGGGATGACTGTAGTTTCTCAGACCTTCAGAGAACCCTCTAATTTGGATTTGGAGGAATCATATTTTTCCTATCTATCTACATGGAGTTATATACTCTCCTGGCTAAGTACATACCCTGACTTCATTCAAGATTTGAGTGAAATACGTAGATGGAATGAGATGGGATTATATTTATGATATTAACAATTTGTTGAAAATATTTTATCAGTTTGATTTTGCCTTCTAAGTTCGTTAATGTTTCCAGGTATTTAGTTTTTCATTTATATGTTGCAATTTACCTTTAATGTTAACTTCATTGTAAATTTGCAAATCTTCTTGTACAGAGAATTTTTATTTTATATTTTCTTTTTGGGGATCCTCTTAATGTTTACCTTTAGCTCGATAATCCATAGTGTGAGATTAAAGTCTCAGATGATTTTTATTTTGAATGGCTCACCTATAGCACCTCATATTGAATAACTCTTCCCGTCTATACGGATATGTAGCCATGTACTCTTTAGCATTTTCTATAAAGGTAGAAAAAATACAAGAGAAAATTCACTTTCCCCAAATTTCAGAACTTGAAATGGCCTTTAGCCATTGAGTCCAAGCTTATTCTTTAAGTGGAAAAATTAAGGCGTGGAGTAGTTAACTGGCTTTCCAATGTCATACTACTCAATGGAGGAGCCAGGAGTAGAACCAACATCTTCTGACCTTTAATCTGAAATTGAAACAGGAATGCTTATTTTACATGCAGCTTCAGGGGCAACTTGACAGCACAAGGTTAATTACCCAGACAAATAAATGGCTATGAGTTGAGGGTCTCTGAAATTCAGACAAGCCTGTACTCCTGACTCGGAATCAGTCAGCAAATATTTACTAAACACTTAAATGCAATGCCTTATGTAAGACCTTGCCAGGGACAGAGAAATAGGTGCCACCACATCTGGAAATAAGGATCTCACAGTCTAGCTAGGAGAAAGGATTGTGTGTTGAGAAGGGAGGTAAAAAAGCAATACCTGACATTCAGAGCTGGCCTGGCACTCATAGCTAAGCCATCTTTTTCTCCTACTAAATATAAACAATTGCATAGAGCACCAACATCTCACAGGATCACTCTGTGTCTATGATAAAAAGAAACAAAGCAAGGCCATTTTATAATTTCATTGAAGTAGAGAAAAATGAAGTCACAAAATACTAAACAAAATACTAAGCTTAGTTTGTCTTGATTAAAATGAGTACCACTTCTTTACCAATTACAGCTTTATACTGGTTCTAATATCCCCTCTCTATAAATAATATTTATCAAAATACCAATCAGAACTGTACCCACTTTCTGATAGCATTTAATCTAGAGCAAATCCTCACTTTGTTCAAAACTTCCTCAGATTCTAAGCTTTGGAATTGGGGAAGGAAGTGATATTGCCTCTAGCAAGAAAATAGGCATAGGGGATTTGATAGAAGTCTTGGGGTGAGAAAGGTGTCTAATGGGGCATGCTTGTTTTCTGCTACAATGCTATCACCAGGACTGGCTCTACTCTGTCTTAGCGAAAACAATTACAGTCAGGTAGATGGTTTTTGTATACTTATAGTATTCCTACTGTTTTTTCTTTTACCTTCTTTCTGTCTGTCCATCCATTTTTGTTTCATAACTTTGAACAGGACCATTACTATTCACTTTAAAGGAGCATGTTACCAAAAAAACCCAAACCAAAAACCACTGAAGTGTCTTTCTACGTCATGAAGAGCTGGACTGCCCACTTGAAGGTACAGGACAAATACACCAGACCCTAGTCATTCAATCCTTCATTGAGTATATATCTATCACCTACTATATGCCTGGAGTTATGTCAAAGACTGGGGACACATTGGTGCTTAAGATTCATGGCTTGATCTATCTAGTTCATGGTCTACAGGGGAAGACAAACATTTGGATGATGATGACACAAGGTGTCAAGAACTGTAACAGGGATGAGCACAAGGTACTGTGGGATCTCATGAGAGAGAATGATTAGCTAAGGCTGAGGGGATGGTAGGGAAGGTGGGTTGGTGACTGGGAAGGTGCTCAAGAGGGGGCATTTCAGCTGAGTCCTGAAACTAGGAGTTTAACCAGCAATAAATATTTGGGGGAAGTCATTGCAAGTAAAGGAAGCAGCATGGATAAATGTAGAGGTATGTGTGTATTGGTCCAAGGCAAAGAAATGGCTGGAGCATTGGGCAGAGTGGCAGATGGGCCTTTAAAGCAGGAGGGGCTGGGGATGGATACTCTGTTCTCCATGATGTGCTTATTTCACATTGCGTATCTGTACCAAAACATCTCATATATCCGATAAATATATACACATACTATGTACCCACAAAAATTAAAAATAAAAGAAACAGAAAAATAAAGCAGATGGGGCAATGAATAATGAATGCTTCTTTAAAGAGTTTGCCCTTTGGCC